CAGATCACAAACCCCCCTCAAACAGGGTTTTGGGTCTCTCTGGATCCAAGAGATCTGGCCAAGAGTGTGTGATGGATCTGGGAGTGGTCAGAGAGGGATCCTGGGTCCTGGATCTGGCTTTTGGGGGAGTTCATCCAACCAATGGCCTCCACCTTCAGCATTGCTTCCAAAGATATCAAAATGGGGATTAAAAACATCTCATGGAACGGTTTGGATTGGAAAAGACCTCAAAGCTCCAGTCCCAGGACACCTTCCACTATCCCAGGCTGCTCCAAGCCCCAGTGTCCCACCTGGCCTGGGCTTCTCTAAAAAGAGGAGCCAGCTCCTCTCTCCCTGTGGCTCTCCCAGGGCAGATCCCTGGGGATGCCCAGCCTGGCTCCCTCGAGGGAGCTGTGCCCCCCCAGTGCCCACCAGAAAGGCTTTTGGGGCTCTCCTGTTGGTAAAATCCTTTTGGGAACATTGCCCAGGGGCTGAGCTGTGGCTGTCCCCTCAGCCTGCTGGAGCTGTGAGTGACATCCTCAGGTCACCCTGTGCCTCTGGGGGCTGCAGCAGCCACGGCAAGAGAGGAAAACAACTCATCCCAAAAATCCTGTTCCCGTCCCAGCTCGCAAACAAGGCCCTTACAAGCGAGGGCCAGGAAATATTTGTAAAATGAAGCAATTGATGGTTTTTATTTTTATTCCCCCATCTGTGCTCGGGCTGGGCTGAGGCTCTGGCTGCTCTCAATGGGCTTTTCTCTCCCTGCCTCTCTCCAAAAGGACAGAGCCGGATCCTTGCGGGCAGCCCCATCCGGGGGAGGCTCAGGGCAGCCCTGGCCAGGCGCAGCACCAGGGACACCCCCAGGTCACTCTGGTGGCTTTGTCACAGCCACCCTTGGCTGTGCTTTCCCAGCACCCCTCGGTGCTGTGCTCATGCAGCCACAAATCCATGGGGAAGAGCAGCAGGAATCCTGCTCCTGCCACTCCTGCAGGCACACAAGGGATGTGGAGCACTCAGGTTGTGGGGATCTTTAGCTGCTCACAGTGACCCCAAGAAAAGTTTGAAAGTCTCTTTTCCCAGCCTGGTGCTCAAAGAAGGAGTCAGGGCTCTTCATTTCTCAGGCTCAAGGTTGTTCATTGTTTCTTATCTATAAAAAATTTTCTCCTGCCCTGCTGAGGTCCGTCCAGCAGGACAGTTCCAGGCACTCTGCCTGCCCCCAGGGCAGGGTTATGGCTTTGTACTAAAAACTACCTGTACAATGTTTACAATTCCTTTCCAATACCTATCACCTGTGTTAGACAGTGAGCTTCTACTCTAAACCAATCCAAAAGTGCCACCATCACAGCAGAAGGTGGAGGCCAAGAAGAAGAAGGAGAAAGGCTGGACACACCCAGTTCCCTCCATCTTGCCCCCTGAACCCCCATACCAAAGCCCTAAAATCTACTTTTCCACCCCATGATAACTTCACTATTATTCTACCTAAACTGTTGTGGCTTGCTGATCTTCATCTAAGGTTGGTGATTTGCTCCATGGGTCATAATCAAACCCACAGGTGTTTTGGGCTCTGTGCCAGGGCTTCTGAGCCCCCTGGCAGGGGTCCTGGCCATCCTGGACAGCCAGAGGGATGTGCTGGGTTCTGACACCAGGTAATTCCCACCTGGATGTCCCTGTCCCTCAGCACGGGGCACCTCGCTGTCAGGTGGTGCTTGAGGCCAAGGAATGGGAGCAATCCCTGCTCCAGCAGGACCTGGAAATCCCAAACCACCCAAATTAATGCCCAGTTTCATTTGACATCTGGGATTTCTCCAGCTGCCAACGTTCATGGCTGTGCTCCTGTGCACACAACGAGATCCCAACGAGATTCCCAGGCCTCCAGGAATCCTCTCCAAGCTTCCCTCGTGCTGGCACTGGCCCTGCAGACCCTCCTCAGGTCCCAGCACCATTCTGGAGGTGCCTGTAGGGTCTCTGGCTGATCCCAAACCTCTCCTGGAGAGGCCCCGTCGTTTTCCAGCAGGTTCCTTCTGCCAAGTCCCAAGTTCCAGGAGAGCCAAGGGATCTCTTCCTTATGGATTCAGTGCTTCTGTCTGGATTTTGGGCCCATTGTGAGGAGCAGCTGGGGCCTGTCAGCTGCTGGAGGTGACTTCAGGAGCTTGGTGGCCCAGTGCTGAGCTGGCTCTGTGTCCCTGTTGGACAATGCCCTTTCCTGACCCAGAGATGGGGCAACTGAGAGGTGTTTGAAAAACTTTTATTCCATTTTCAATCTCATTTGAAGAGATAATTGTGAGACAATGTCTCTCATCGTGAGACAATAGAGATGTTATAATTCATGCCATTACAAGTCATTCAAGCCAACTATTTTTTAATTTTTTCATTATTATACACTATAAGCATTTCTTGGCCTATCAGCTTTTTGCCACACCATGCTGTAAACGCTTTAAAGCCAATCATCTAAAATTACCCCTCATAAGTCTTAATTCAATGCATGTTTCACAGTTCTATTTCTCTAAATTATCTAGTCTTATTTGCAAGGCCACCTTTTGAAGCTTGTTTTTAGTTCCATTTCTCTCCCAACAGTGTCTGTCGCATTTCCAAGTCAGCAATTTCTTATTTCCAGGTTTGCATACAGATGCACACACTGTGTGGGCCTTCTGTCAGGTTTGGAGAATTCTCCAATCCATTTCCCCCAGTCCCCTGGCACGCTGGGATCAGGGCAGGAGGGCAGGGATGTGGGAATGAATGAGAGCTCTCCAGGAGATTCAACAGCTGGGCTGGCTCCGAGGGGACAGCCAGGCTGGCTGGGCTCTCATCCTGCCAATTCCCTGCTGCCTGCCTGCTGGGGATTACTGGGATGGAGGCAGCCTGGGCAGGAAACCCTGAGCTTGCCCTCTGGGTTGGGCACAGAGGGATGTGTGGCTGCTGGCTGTCCCTGTCCCCAGGATCTCTGTGCATCCCTGTGCATGCTGGAATCTGTGTGGATCACCATCCCCTGCAGCAGGGATTGGGATCTTGTCACAGACATCTTTTATGGAAAATCCTTTCCTTAGGATTTTTCCTCCTGAGAAGCTGAGAGGCCTCAGGAACAAAATGTAACCAATGGTTATCTGCTGCTGTGGAATGCAACAGGTGCATCTGGGATTGGGCTCATGTGGTTGTTTCTAATTAATGACCAATCCCAGTCAGCTGGCTCAGACTCTCTGTCCAAGCCACAAGCCTTTGTTATCATTCTTTCTTTTTCTATTCTTAGCCAGCCTTCTGATGAAACCTTTTCTTCTATTCTTTTAGTATAGTTTTAATATAATATATATCATAAAATAATAAATCAGCCTTCTGAAACATGGAGTCAGATCCTCCTCTCTTCCCTCATCCAAGAACCCCTGTGAGCACGGTCACAGGATCTCTGTTGCCTTTGGCTGAGGTGCTTGGGTGGGGTTTCTTAAAAGCTGTGTTTTATCTGATTGAAACCCTTTCACATCCTCCTAGGAGCCAGCTCACCAGGGAACTGGAACAGCTTTCATGGCCCGGAGGGGCACAGAAATCCCAGGGAAAACGGCCCTTGGGCACCTGTGCGTCCTCACTCGCACCAAGGTGGCCACTTTCCAACCATTGGAAGGTGGCCAGAGCCCAGGGAAACATTTTGGCAGCTGAGTATGGCTCTGTAAAAGCAGAAAAATGACAGAAAAAGCACAGGGAGATGCTCTTTAAATGAAGTCTTTTCCTTAAGCTAAAGGAGTTCAAGGACTGTGAAACTGAATTTATTTGTATTTGTTTGTCTTCCTGAAATTGAATCAGGAGCATGCTGTTGGTGTGATTTATGCCTTGGGTGCAAATGTCCTACTTTGGTCAGTGCCCAAACTCTGCCACCATTAATGAGAATTCTCATTATTGATTCAGTGGCACCTGGAAGGCTTTTAAGGACTGACAGCAGGAGCAAAACAATTTCCGAGAGCATTTCCTCAGTGCCTGTGCCCATCCTGACCCGTGCCCCTGCTCTGCCCAACCCAGGAGCCCCTTCCCTGGTGGCCTTGGGGGTGCTGGTGACACAGGTGCCACCCCCTGCCTGTCTGAATGTCACCTCTCTAAACCCTGGTTGTTTTCTCCTTGATGAGGGCTCACCTGGCAGAGGTTTTGCACCAGCTCAGGTGGCATTTCAGAGCCTCTCCCACACCCCAAAAGGTGTGTGGTGCATTGATCTACACCTGAGTCACACCTGAGCTACACCTGAGTTACACCTGGGTTACACCTGAGTTACACCCGAGCTACTCCAGTGTCACCACCTGGGCTGGGGCAGCCAGCACTGAGATGTCCCCAGTGCCCAGCCCTCCCCTCATCCCCAGCAACTCCCCCTAAATATATCCCATATTCCCATCAAATATGTCCCATATTGTCCCCAGATATATCTCATATTCCCACCAAATATATCCCATATTCCATCCCAAATATATCACATATTCCTCCCAAATATATCCCATATTCCACCCAAATATATATCCCATATTCCCCCCAAATATATATCCCATATTCCCCCCAAATATGTCCCATATTCCATCCCAAATATACCCCATATTCCACCCAAATACATCCCACATATTCCTCAGTTTGCCTGGCTGAAATCACTTCCACTCCAGCTTGTGGAAAGGTCAGGAAGAGCAGGGAGAGCTCCTGGGAGCTCAGCTCCTGTTTGTTCTGGGCTGTTTCTTCCTCTTCCCTGCTCTGCAAGCTCCTTCTGCCACCAGCTTCTCCAGCCTCCCTTCCCCATCTCCCAGGGTTGTTTTCCCAGGTTCCAGCAGGATTTTGGGGTGCAGAGGCTCTGCTGTAGGGCCAGAGTGGGCACTCCTGTGGCTCTGAGGTGGAGCTCCCGTGGTGCTTGGGTTGTCCTCACCTCGGTGATTCATCGCCCTGGCTGAGGCCCTGCCTTCCCTCCCTTCCCACGGAGCATTGGCCAAGTTTTGGCTCCTGTGGGAAGCAGCTGGAGCTTGGAGCTTTTGGGGTGCCAGCACCCCAAAAGGTTTTTAACCCTTCAGTTTCAGGGAAGGGGAGAACAATCCCCAGAAAGCTCTGCCGGCTCGGATGGAGAACGATCGTGTCCCGGGGGACCTGTGGGGGAAGAGCAACGTCCCCGTGGTCCTGAACAACCCCTGCTCTGAAGGACAGCAGGTAAGAGGCCGTGGCTGGGGCTGCTTTGGGTGGGAAAACCAGAATTCCCAGGGTTTGTGGGAATGTGACCCATCCTGGTAGGTTCTCACAGGGCAGAGAACCTGCAGGGACAGTGTGTGACCCCAAAAGCTGCAGGTGATGGATCCCTGAGCCCCTTGGGGCCAGGAGCTGAAGTGGCCATGGGTCAGGCAGGGAATGGAGGTCACTGGAGAATGCTGCTCCTCATCTGACGTGGGATGGGAGCCCAGCCAGGAGCAGGACGCCGAGGCCTCCCTGGGGAGTGTGATCCCTTCTGGTGGCACCAGGCCAAGCTGCATCATTAAAGTCCTTTGGATTCATCTGATGGTAATTCAATAGAGCACTTCAGATAATGCCTTCCACGGTGCCTTTTCATCTCTCACACTCCATGGCCATAAATTCTCAGGCTTCCTTGCCAAGAGGAGATTAACTCCACGTTTGTAGCAGAGCCAGAGACGTCAGGCAGACCCTGCCAGGCCACCAAGATCACCTCAGGGAAAACACGACGTGCGTGAGCTCTGCCAGGGCTTGGGCAAAAGGATCTCCCTGATGGGATTATCCAGGCAGGACCTGGGGGACCAGACTGGAGATCACCACCCTGCCATGGGCAGGGACACCTCCCAGTGTCCCAGGCTGCTCCCAGCCCCAATGTCCAGCCTGGCCTTGGGCACTGCCAGGGATGCAGGGGCAGCCCCAGCTGCTCTGGGCACCTGTGCCAGGGCCTGCCCACCCTGCCAGGGAACAATTCCTAATTCCCAATATCCCATCCATGCCTGCCCTCTGGCAGTGGGAGCCATTCCCTGTGTCCTGTCCCTCCATCCCTTGTCCCCAGTCCCTCCTCAGCTCTCCTGGAGCCCCTTTAGGCCCTGCAAGGGGCTCTGAGGTGTCCCTGGAGCCTTCTCCTCTCCAGGGGAGCACCTCCAGCTCTCCCAGCCTGGCTCCAGAGCAGAGGGATGGGTGGCCTGAGGACCACAGAGATTCCCACAGGATCACCCAGTGCCACCCCTGCCATGGGCAGGGACACCTCCCACTGTCCCAGGCTGCTCCCAGCCCCAGTGTCCAGCCTGGCCTTGGGCATTCCAGGGATGCAGGGGCAGCCCCAGCTCCAGAGCAGAGGGGCTCCAGCCCTTGGAGCATCTCCATGGCCTCTTCTGAGCTCCCTCCAGCAGCTCCAGGTCCCTCCTGAGCTGGCCCAGGGCTGGATGCATTTCTCCTGGCAATCCTGCATGCAATGACGTTCCCATGCACTTTTGCAGCCTGGCAGTGCCAGAGACCCATGGGGGACACACTGGACCCTCTAAGCTGGTGCTGATGCCCACACAGGGCACTGGGACAGCCCTGGCCACGCTGCAGGGCTGTACCCAGCCTGGCTGGGATCCATTTCCACCCTCCCTCACCTCAGGACCATGGCCAGGTGTCCCAGCAGCACAGCCAGCCTCGGGTTGGGTGTCCCCCCACACAAGTGACAGCCCCATGTCCCAGCACAGGGAATCTTGAGCCCAGGGACAGGTCAGGGCTGCTCCCTCTGCCCCAGCTCTGCAGAGTCTTCCTGCTCCTTTGCTAAGCCCCGTGCGTGTCCGTGTCTGTTACTATAAGCACTTTATAACCTTCTGTGTGCAGAGCTTAATTTCTCTCTGTGCTGGGGCTGCCAAAACCGCCAGTCTTAAGCTGCTATTAAACTCTTTATTATTTTTTTTTTCACTGGATGCGCAGCTTTCTTTTTATCCTTCTTATCCCCGAATCCTTACGCCTGCTTTTCTGGAAGCAGTCTGGTTTTTCCCCCAGCCATTCCCCAGGGCTGTGTGCAGTCAAGGCAGCTGAACTTCTTTCAAGCAGCAATAAATACTATTAACACTGGGGAAAGTCAAGCCAAGTGGGAACTTTCCTTGGGTTTTTTTTTGAAGCAGGATTGGGTGGATTCACTTGGCCAGGTGGCGAATGCTCACTGAGGCTCGTAATAAGGTGCTGAAAGCCCCGCTGGGCATCGATCCCCATCCCTCTGTTATTTTTTACAAAACCACAGCGCATCTTTTGCTGGTTTCCCAGCAGCCCGATCCCCCTGGCCCTAACCCTGAGGATGCTGCGGTTGTGCCAGGTCCTGTTCCAGCCACAGGGACTGATTCGGGAGCAGCCCGAGGGCAATCAGGAGCTCTGTGCCCGTGTGGCTCTCAGGGGAAGAGACTCAGAGTAGCTTGTGGGGGTGATTTACAGCTGAGCAGAGGCACAGGACACGCTCTGAGCCGAGCGGGGCTGATGCAGTCTGGACGGAAATGTCAGCACGGAGATAAATCCACAACCCGGCTGCTGCTGCTCTCGCCCCGCTGGGACCCAGCCGAGCAGCGTGAGCACCTGCAGAGCTCAGGACAGAGATGTCCACTGTCACCGTGTCCCCAAGGAGCTCCCAGGGCTCCTCCTGTGGGAGCAGACAGCCCGGAATCCGTGGAGTGCCGGCACGCTCCGGGTGGGAGCTGTTTGCATAACGCGTGTGCGCCCCGGCTGCCACAGTTGTCTCTCGGCTTGTCCCTCTCCTGAGTCACCCAGATCCCAGCTGCCTCATTAAAACATGAAAAGATCTCACGCAGCCTCCCTGGCACAGCGGCGGGGAGTGTTTGGCTCCTGTTTCAGCACACACACACACACACCAGCTCACACACAGCTCCTTCCCAGGCTCCCCTGGGTTCTCTCTCTCCTCCACAGCTGCTCCGGGATGGGGGTGTCAGAGCTGACACCTCTGCTCCAGCCTGGCTGCTGTCCCAGGATTCAGCATCTCCATGGGCCTCTCCCAGTGAGGGTTGTCAGGCACTGGATATCTTGGTTTACAAGACAGGTTCTGATAAGGAAGGCAGGAGAGCCTCCCCTGAAATGGAAACTGTAAACCCCTCCCTCTGAATTGTTATAAATGTTAAATTAAAGGGCTCTCAGGCAAAAAATATGGGAGCAGGAATAAAAGTTCTTTACTAGGGAAGAAAATAAAAATAAACATTGCAGTAAACCAAAACAGCACTGCCAGAGTCAGAACCCAGCCTGACACCCTGTGGGTCAGGCTGTTGGCAGCAGAACCATTGGGATTGTGGCTCAGCCCTCCTGCAGTGCCAGGGCTGGTTCTGCTGGAGCAGGGATCCTGGAGAAAGGTGCAGTCTCTGCCTCTGAAGATCCAGGGGAAGGAGAGGCAGCTGCTGTTCCTCTGGGGAATCCAGTGCAGAAGCTGTGCTGGTGTTCCAGAATCTCCAGATTATATCCAGGTAGGAATGCTTGGCTCCTCCCTCTGGGCTCACATCTCCCAGTGGGATGCTGTAGTTCTTATCAGCCATGCAGGGACACTCAATAGCTGTTATCAGCAGGTGTCTCCCCTGAGGGAGGATTGGGTGTGGAAGAGATAAAGGAAACTGCCCAATGAACAGAAGACAACTGCCATACAGATGGCAAATAGAATACACAAATAGAATACACACCTTCTCTTACCTTGCAATCTGGGACACTGGAACAGATTAATGGGGTCCCATTAACCCCTGGAAGTGTCCAAGGAATGACACTGGGTGCCCTGCTCCAGCTGACAGCCTGGTGCTCACTCAGAGGTTGGGATCAACCACCTCAGAGACCTCTCCTGACCTTAATGACTCTGTGATTCCAGGATTCCAGCTCGCCCAGCTCCTGCAGGGAAAAGACAAATGGGGAAGGGGAGCAGCTTTGGGGGGGTTTGAGGCAGAGCACTGCAGGCAGATAAGCACCAACCCTCAGTGAAGTTCTGCCCCTTTGTCCTCCCGTGGTGGCAGTGTCCCCTGTCCCCAGGAGCTGTGCTGGACCCAGGGCAGGGAAGGGGCAGGGACTGCAGGTCTGAAGGCTCAGATTTGGCCAGATTTTTGAGTCTTGCATCCCCCCACTTGCTCTGAGGATGGGGACATGGCTACATCTGCATTCCCAGCACGTTTTGGCGCTGTACCTGCTCCTGCAAGAAGTATTTTAGCAGCACACCTTGTCAGGAGATCAAAACTCCCATTAAAAAGTGCTGGGTGCAATCAACACTCCCTGCCTGGTGCTCCCGGTTTCTGTCTGGCAGGTGGAGCTGCAGGTGAGGATTGGTTTTGGTTGCATTTCTGAGCTGTTTTCAGCACATTTTGCCCATCTCAGGGAGCTGTTCTGAGCAATCAGGCTCAGAGGGAAGGTGGCAGATTGTCCCCTTTGGTCCTCGGGGTGGGTCAGGGAGCACAGGAAGCTGTTGGTGACTAAAGAATGATTCAATTCTCTTGGAAGAGTAAAACAAGCAGGGGGGGAAATGACCAGGAGCTGCCACTGCCATGATTCAGGCTGGACTCCTCAAAATTGAAAAAAAAAAAGAGTTTAAAAATAGTGTTTTTGCAGGACTACATCAAGGAGGTTCTTATTTACTGCTGGGTTTGAGCTCTGCATGAGATTTTTTATTCAGTTTCTGCAGCGTGCAGAGGGGAGGCTGAGATGTGGTCTGTGGACATTTGGCTTCAAGGGGCAGACTTTGACACACTCCTTGGGACAATCATGGGATCTGTGACATGAGGAATGTCAGAGATCCATGGCAGCACAGCCTGAGGGGTGCAGGGAGCAGCTTTTGGAAACTGTAAGGGCTAAAGAAGGTCCTGCTGAGGATTCAGGCTATAAATCTCTGCCTTCCCCTCCAGCCTCTGTCCCTTGCTCCCAAAATATGTTTTCAGAGCGTGTCATTACACCACAAGCCTCAGGCTGCTTGAAATCCCTGTTTTCCAGGGGGAAAAAAGTCTGGACTTATTGTAAAAATGAGAACTGAGCAAAAAGTCTGGCCAGCAGTGCCAGCAAATGCAAAGGTGTCTGCTCAGCCCAGGCCTCAGCCTTGGGGTCAGCCAGGATTGATGTCTCAGAGCTTTGGAGCAGCAGAGCAATCCCCTGGTGAAGTGGGAACCAGTCAGAGCTGGAGCCTCAGCTGCTCTGTCATCCCTGTGGCTCCTGCTGCCTTCCCTCCTGAGCCAGCAGCTTCTCCCACCCTGTGCTGGATTTTTGCTTCTTTAAGTTTGTGCTGCCTGCTGCAGGGGTGACAGGAGCCCAGGACCCCCAGAAAGGAGGTGACACTACTGAATGCAGCACCAGCTTCAAGAAAACCAGATAATTCAAAAGGGACACCAGCCCCAGGATTGTCGTAGGAAGGGACAGACCCAGTCCCAGCCCAGAGCTGCTGTGCAGAGCCTTGAAGTGGTGCCAAACACCAGCAGCTTTGGCCAGGACGCTCTCAGATGTCCCCTGGAGAGCTGCAGCAGCAGCACCATGGTTCCAGTGATGGAATTACATCCCTGTGTAAGATCTGATTCCTGGGAGACAGAGCTCTGCTGCCCAGAGCCACTGCAGGCTCCCCTGTCCCCACTGGCAGACACCGATGGCTCTTGAGGCTTTAAGTGCTTGGGGTGAGTAAGGGCCACAGCAGAAAATTGTGGTTTTATCTGTGAAAATGTGCAAAAAGGAGCACCTGTAACCAGTTCTGCTCCTCACAAGCTCTGTGCTGGCTGGGATTCTCTCCGTGCTGGCACAGAACTCAAGGAGAGCTGGATGAGCCCATGCCAAGGCAGTGTCAGGGAGCTGAGGCTGGAGAAATCCAACTACTCATGATTCAGCAGCCCCCCACTTGGATAATTCATCCATCCTCGTTCCTAAAGCTTTCCAGCATTGGTAGCAGAGGAGCTGTGCCTTTGGCTTGCTCAGATTGATGCTCAGCTCTTCATTCTTCCAGGCAGAGCTTGGCACCTGCAGAACCAGAGCAGGTGATGCTCCTTGGGAAGAAACACCCCACAGACTTTGGGGGAGAGTCTTCCTCTGGGAAACTTGAACACAACATTCTCCAAGTCACTTCCACCTCTGTTTTTAACTCATTTCCCACAGGTTTAGCTGTCCCATAACCAGACACAACTTCTTAATTCCATTGCCAGTCAGCGGCTCTGTTGTAGGATCCCAAATAACACCAAATATTGGGATAACACACCTTGTCTGGCTGTGTCACCCCAGAATTTACTCACAGCCATCCAGCCATACACAATGCTGTGTTGTTCAGACCTCTCAGGGTTTTTGTGGTCGAGATGACCCTGAGGTGTTAGAAAGTCTCTTTTTCCCAGCTCCGAGTTTGAAGAAGGAGTCAGGATTCTTCAGCTGTGGTTTCTAAGGTTGTTTATTCTCTGTTATCTGTAACATTCTTTTCCTGACCTGCTGAGGTCTGTCTAGCAAGTCAGTCCAAGTCACACTGACCGCCTCAGAGGTGGTGTTATCTTTTTATACTAAAAACTACGTGTACATTATTTACAATAATTTCCCAATACCTATCACCTATGTTAGACAGTCCATTTCTACTCTAAACCAATCCAAAAGTGCCACCATCACCCAGAAGATGGAGGCTAAGAAGAAGAAAGAAGAAGGACAAGACATGCCCAAATCACTCCATCTTGGCTTCTGAACTCCCATTCTAAAAACCCAAAATTCTATTTTTCTATTTTGTAACAAACTATCATTCTACTTAAACTTCCGTGGCTTGTGAATCCTCATACAAAGTTGGTAATTTTTTCCATGGGTCAAAATCAAAGGCACAGGTCTCTTTGGCTTCATGCCAAGGTCTCTGAGCCCCCTGGCAGGGGCTTGAGCCATCCAGGGCAGCCAGAGGGATGTCCTGGGTTCTGACAGGGGCCTTTTCCTGCATTTTGCTGATGAGTTCTGACTTTGTGCTGGGTGTTCCCTCTTTTCCAGCCGCCATCATCCGGGCGCCAGTCCCCGACCAAGAACGCCAATGGGAGCCCTTCCAAATGCCCCCGCTTTGTGAAAATCAAGAACTGGGAGACAGGATCCGTGCTCCACGACACCCTGCACCTCAAGACTGCCATGGTGAGTAGAGCTGCCCCCAAATTCCCAGAGCATCAATGAGTGAATGGCACTGTTTCCAAGGTGGATTTACCCAGGAATGCAGAAGTGGAGGAATTCATGTCTTGGTTTAAAAGCCAGGTGTCTGCTAAGGAAGGCAGGAGCCTCCCCTGAAGTGGAAAATGCAAACCCCTTCCCTCTGAATTATTATAGTTTTGGAATTAGGGGCTCTCAGGTAAAGATAGGGGAGCAGGAATAACATTTCTTTACTAGGAAAATTAAAAATACTAATGCAATAGTACAAACAAAAAAACCCCCAAACCACTGCCAGAGTGAGAGCATGCCCTGTCCCCTGTGTGTCAGGGGGTGGCACAGCCCCATCCCATGGGGGCTCAGCCCTCCTGCAGTGCCAGCTGTGGCTCTGCTGGAGCAGGGATCCTGCACAAGGGGGGAGTTTTCCTCTGCAGCTCCAGGGCTGCTGCAGATGGGCCTGGGCTCCCTCTGGCCATGCAGGGCAGCAGAAGCTGCTCCTCTGGCAATGCACTGGGCAAAGGCTGCTGGGCTGTGCCAGGCTCACATTGGATCCAGGTAGGAATGCTTGGCTCCTGCCCTGGGCAATGCAGCATCTCCCCATGGGATGCTGGAATTGGATCAGCCCTGCAGGGACACTCAGTGGCCATGGACAGCAGAGATCTCCTGCAGGGAGGATTGGCTGGGGGAGAGATAAAGGAAAAACTGCCCCATGGACAGCAGAGAACTGCCCCAGCTCTGACAGATGGGGACAGAATACACACCCACAGCTGCACCTTTCAACCTGAGACACTCCAGTAGGGTTTGAATTTCAAATCTGGTGCAATAAGCAAAGAGAGGGAAATCCATTGGGTTAGATAAGGAAAAGCATTTGACTTCATGCCAAGCTGGGGTGTGAACCCCATCTCTCCACTGTCTGATCAGGAGGGACTAGTGGTGACTGCACATGGCCTGGCTGTCACCACTCAGTGACCCCAGCCAGCTGGGAATGTCCCTGTTTGTCAGCCACCACCACCCTCTGTGAGGGTGATCGCTGACTGCCCCAGCCCAGCCCAGCAGTGCCATGGTGGCTCCAGGACATTCCTGTTCCCTCCTGTCCCCTCAGGCCACGGCGTGCACCGAGCAGATCTGCATGGGCTCCGTGATGACCCCCAGCCCCCACATCCGCAAGGCAGAGGACACCAGGAGCAAGGAGGAGGTGCTGCTCCTGGCCAAGGACTTCATTGACCAGTACTACTCCTCCATAAAGAGGTGGGTGCTGCTGTTGCTGCCTGCCTAGCTCCATGGTAGAGCATGGGACTCAATCCCAGGGTCGTGGGTTTGTGCCCAACGTTGGGCGCCATTTGTTGCTATCCATTTGTTGGTTGTGATTTGTCTGGGGATCCCCGGGGGGGTCCCCAGGGGGCTCCCCAAGCTGTATGTTTGCTCAAGCAGCAGGCAGGCAAGGAGACTCCACACGGCTTCTGAGGGTGCTAATTAGATGAGGGTTTATTGGGGTCCCACCCCCGGGAGCAGCATGGCTTCTGAGGGAGAAGGGGGAAAGGGGAGAGAGGGAGAACCTAGGGAGAGAAGGGCCAAGAGAGAGTCTGATCTCCCTTGCACAGCTTAACATGGAGATTCAAAGTGGGGTGGAATAAGCCTTGGGCCAATGGGATTGCAGATACATGATGCTTCAGGGGAGGATCACAGGCTTGGAATAAACTGAACATTTTCATACATTTTCGAGGGGTGAGACAGAGCATAGCATTTAACTAAAATGCAACACCACATGCTGCCTCAGCCCAAGGCTGCTGCTGGTGCTGAGATGTCACACGTGTCACCCAGAGCTGGGGCCAGCACAAGAAGGACCTGGAGCTGCTGGAGTGACACCAGAGGAGGCACCAGGATGATCAGAGGGATGGAGCAGCTCTGTTGGGAGGAAAGGTTGAGAGAGTTGGGATTGTTCAGTCTGGAAAAGAGAAGCTTTGGGGTGACCTCCTTGTGGCCTTCCAGTGCCTGAAGGAGGCAAAAAAAACAAACATGGAGAGAGACTTGAGGCAAGGGATGGAGGAAAGGGACACAGGGAATGGCTCCCACTGCCAAAGGGCAGGGATGGATGGGATATTGGGAATTGGGAATTGTTCCCTGGCAGGGTGGGCAGGCCCTGGCACAGGTACCCAGAGCAGCTGGGGCTGCCCCTGGATCCCTGGCAGTGCCCAAGGCCAGGCTGGACACTGGGGCTGGGAGCAGCCTGGGACAGTGGGAGGTGTCCCTGCCCATGGCAGGGGTGGAATGGGATGAGTTTAAAGGTCCCTTCCAGCCCAGGCCATTCCATGATTCCATGATGTGATCTCCCACCCGTGTAAGTCACAGCAGGGGGAGGCTCTGGTGCTCCTCCAGCAGCTGCTTCTTGGGTAGAGTTTCATTCCTGGTGTTGTTGTGTCTCTGCACAAGCCACTGCTCTCTCCCCCTGGTCCTTGCCCACCTGCTATCCCAAATCTGGGATAACCATCCCCACAATCCCTGTGGATGTGTAGGAACAAAGCATTCCAGGTGGAGAGCAGCAGCATTCCCTGCCCTCCGCCTGACCCTCCACCTCCTCTGCTCCCAACCTTCCCAGATCCGGCTCCAAGGCCCACATGGAGAGGCTGGAGGAGGTGACCAAGGAGATTGAGGCCACTGACACGTACCAGCTGCGGGACACGGAGCTGATCTACGGAGCCAAGCACGCCTGGAGGAACGCGGCGCGCTGCGTGGGCAGGATCCAGTGGTCCAAGCTGCAGGTGAGCGCCAATCCCACCACAAACACCCAGGAGATTCCTGCCAAAGGGCGTGCTGGAGTTCTGGAGAGGCAAATTCCTGCTCTCCAGCACCTGGGAAGCACAGCACAGGCCCAGGGGCAGGTGTTCAGCACACACAGCTCCCCTCAGCAGCTCTGGGATGCTGGCAGGAGCTGGAAAAGTGTCTGTGGGATGGGAGATGAGGTGGCTGTGTCTGAAATGGAAGCTGGTGTTCCAGGGGATGTTTTCCAATATCAGATCCTGCTCCAACATCTTTCCTGCTGCTTCCGAACCTGTTGCTCCACCTGGAGAGAGGCAGCAGGACACATTTGTCCTCAGTACTGAGATCCAGCAGGGGAGGGTTTGGCTCCGTGTCCTTTTGGCAAGGGAAACACAGAACAGGATTGGAAATCAGTGATCCCTAGGGAATCCCTTGGTACAGAGCTGTCCTCTCCTCCTGTAACCTGGAACAAATCCAGTGCTGCTGAGCAGCTCCTGTGGCTGCTTCACACAGGGAATGGGCACAGCCACTTCTGTTCATGCCCCTTCCTGATTTCCCCATGCTTTCATGGATGACCCTGGATCCCTAGCAGTGTCCAAGGCCAGGCTGGACAGGGCTTGGAGCACCCTGGGGTAGTGGAAGGTGTCCCTGCCATGGCCAGGGGGTGGAGTGAGATGCTCTTTAAAAGTCCCAACCCAAACCATTCCATGGTTCTGTGATTCCTTGCCCCCCAGCCCTGGCTGGCACCTGTCCTGTTCCAGCTTTGAGTGCTGAAGAGAAGTAGAGCAGACTCTGTAATTGTTGGGGGATGAGGCAGGAACAGCAGCAGGTTGGGAGCACAGGAATGAGGAGGTTTTTGCCTGAGCAGCAGATGAGTCACCTCTCCAAAGAAAAAGGGGCAGCTGGATTAGACATCCACGTGTTCCAAAGGCAGGGAACACATAATTACGGAGCTTTAGATCCCTGAGAAGCCACAGTGGTGCCTGGAGTTCTCCATGTGCTGTGTTTCCTCTGCCTGGCTCTGCCCTAGGAGCTGGAACATCCCCACAACTGCTTCCCTGTTCCAGGTGTTTGATGCCCGGGACTGCACCACAGCCCATGGGATGTTCAATTACATCTGCAACCACATCAAGTACGCCACCAACAAGGGGAACCTCAGGTGAGCCACCAGGGAGTCACCAGGCTTTGAATCCAAGGGCCACCGGATGAGTGGAGACCCAGCTGGAGTTGGGTCTGGCACTGCACAGCCAGCAGCAGTCCTGGGAAGGGTTAGAGGGATCTGATCTGGGGTGGAGGAGTCCTGCTTGTCCAAGTCTCTCTCTTCTTGCTGCCTGTTAGACCTCAGAGGGAAGAATTTCCCATTAGTTCCCCTTTTATATATTCTGCATACAGCACAGAGCTCAGACTGCTCTGCAGATCTGAAACCCCCTGTGAGCAGCCAGGAGCTGGGAACACCCCAAATTCCAGATCCACCGACTCTCAGGGCCTCGCTCAGGGCACACCCAGAGGTGGTGGCAGCACTTTTCCTCCAGCACCTCACCCCTCCTGCAGCTCATGGCATCCACCAGCTCTGCCTTTTCCCCCCAGGTCTGCCATCACCATCTTCCCGCAGCGCACGGACAGCAAGCACGACTTCCGCATCTGGAACGCGCAGCTGATCCGCTACGCCGGCTACAAACAGCCCGACGGCTCCGTGCTGGGCGACCCCGCCAACGTGGAGCTCACTGAGGTACCAGCCTGCCTGACTCTGCCCTTCCTGAGCCTTCTCCACTTGTCCTGGTTTAGGGCAAATTTGGGAGAAAACCTCCAAAGGGGGCCTCTCCAGTAAGCAAACCCACACAGCCCCTCTTCCCCTACCATTTCGGGAAGGATTCCTCGGAGACAAGTGGAAAGAACCTGTTTATTTAACAGGCACAGCACCCCCAGCACACAAAATGAACAATACCAGGTGACACCACTCTGTCACTGCTCTGACAAAGATGACAAATTCAGAAAGTCTCTCCTGGGGGTGCTCGCTCTGTTCTCAGTCCCTCCTGTGCTGGGGCAGCTGCTGCAGCCACAAGGTGCAAACTCTCGGTGTTTCCCAGGTCCCAGTCTGGAGCAGGTTTGAGTAGGTCCAAAAAAGGGAAAGGAGAAACAGTCCAGGGAAAAATTTGCTCTGCTTAGCTAAACTAACTAATGAGCAGGAGCAAAAAGCAAGAGCAAAGCAGGAGCAAAGCCGAAGCAAGAGCAAAGGGAAAAGCAAAGCAAAAAGCAAAAGCAGCACCCATGTACTGCCCTGTCTGTGTGTCCCACCAGCTGTGGGGGAGCAGCTGATAACAAAACCAAAACAAAACATTCGCTCTGCAGAGCCAGTCTTGAAGGCACAGAACATGATATCCAGCATGAACAGAACACAGGAATGGGGATACAAGCATCAGAACATCACCCTAGGGCAGGGCTTCACCCAAAACCCTCTCCCAGGTCTTCTCTCCATTGAAGCTGGCAGAGCTGGCAGGGAGTTGTGTCTGTCTGTCAGAGCTTTCTCATGTATCCAGATGGATTTTCTTGGAAAGTTTCCTTTTCCTTGAAGTCTCCCAGGGCTTACACCCCTCCATAATCCCCTTGTCCCCATAAATGAGAGATGGGGCAAATGAGAGGTGTTTGAAGAACTTTTATTCCATTTTCAGTCTCATGTGAAGGGTGAGACAATACAGATGTTATAATTCACACCATCACAATCAGAAGCCAATTATTTCCTAATTACAATACACTATCAGTGTTTCTTGGCCTATCAGCTTTAGCCACACCATGCTGTAGATGCCTTAAAGCCAATCATCTAAAACTACACCTCTTGGGTCCCACTACAATGATCTTTCATAGTTCTATTTCTCCAAAGTATCCAGTCTTATTTGTGAGGCCATCCTTTTAAACTTGTTTCTAGCTCCATTTCTCTCCCAACAATGTCTGTCCTATTCCATGGCATTTCTAAGTCAGCATTTCTTATCTCAAGGTTTGCATACAGATGCACACTGTGTGGGCCTTCTGTCAGGTTTTGAGAACTCTACAAATCCATTTCCCACATTAAACCCACCCTTCCCATGCCTGCTGGGAATTCTGAGCACTCCCAGAGGGAGGAGGGGCTGGGTCAAGCAGTCTGGGATTGTCCAGGGCAGCACCACCTGGGCAGGTTGGGTTTGTGTCACCCTTAGGTTTTTCCCCAGGAGTAAAGGTTGGGTTTTGTCACTTTTCTGCTTTTCTCACCCTTTTTCTCCTTCACCACTACAGGCACAAGCCACGATCCTACTGGGGATACATTCCAGGCTCATTTGTAGCCCAAACTCCCCTGACTTGGCCATGGGTGGGCTGGGACAGGCCACCTCCCTTTGCTCAACCACAAGGACAGAAATCCTGCCAGGAGCTGTTCCTAGGACCACACAATTCCCTGCCCACAGTGTCTGAAGAGCAGGTGACCTGCTGGGACACCAATCCTGCCTTTTTTTCCCTGCAGATCTGCATCCAGCAAGGCTGGAAGGCTCCGTACGGGCGCTTCGATATCCTGCCCCTGCTCCTCCAAGCCAACGGCAACGACCCCGAGCTCTTCGAAATCCCACCAGAGCTCGTGCTGGAAGTGCCCATCCGGCACCCCAAGTGAGTCAGGGGCAGCCCCAGAACTGCTCCAGGGGATCAGCAGGACTGAGCTCCCCTGGTTCCACCCTTGCCATGGCCTGGGGGCTTCACCCAAGACCCTCTCCCAGATCTTCCCTCCAGTGAAGTTGGCAGGGAGGTTGTGTCCATGTCTCAGTGCTTTCCCTTGTATCCAGACTGATTTCCTTGGAAAATTTCCTTTTCCTTGAAGCCTCCCAAGGCTTACACCCCTCCATAATCACCTTGTCCCCATCAACAGCCCCAAAGGAAGGTACTGATGGAAATGTTCTGCTCAAGTCCTTCACCCTGGTGGCAAAGTGACCTCCCCCATCCCCCTGCCTGCATTGGGAAGGGAGTTCCTGGCTGGTTGCCTAATCCTGACCTTTTCCCCGGCAGGTTTGAGTGGTTTAAGGACCTGGGCCTGAAGTGGTACGGGCTGCCAGCTGTTTCCAACATGCTCCTGGAGATCGGGGGCTTGGAGTTCTCGGCCTGCCCCTTCAGCGGCTGGTACATGGGCACGGAGATCGGCGTCCGCGACTACTGCGACAACTCCCGCTACAACATCCTGGAGGTACCTCCTGCTGCTCCTGGCGGGCCTCTGGGGTCACTGGGGAGCAGGCAGGACACTGGGAAAGCACAGGGTGTCCCTTCTGGGCCCCAGCTCTGGGCCCCTCAGTTTGGGAAGGATGTTGAGATGCTTGAGCGTATCCAGAGACAACGAGGCTGGAGAGGGGCTGGGAACACAAACCCTGTGAGGAACCACTGAGGGAGCTGGGGGTGCTCAGCCTGGAGAAAAGGAGACTCAGGTGTGACCTTATCACTCTGCACAACTCCTGAAAGGTGGCTGTGGCCAGGTGGGGTTGGGCTCTTTCTCCAGGAACTGACAGAACCAGAGCACATAGCCTCAAACTGTGTCAAGGGAAATACAGGTTGGATAACAGGAAAAAGTTTTGCATGAGTGATAAAGTTCTGGAATGGCTTCCTGGGGAAGTGGTGGAGTCACCATCCCTGGATGTGTTTAACAAAGCCTGGATGGTAGCACTGGGTGCCAGGGTTTGGTTGAGGTGTTGGGGCTGGGTTGGACTCAATGATCTTGAAGGTCTCTTCCAACCAGGTCATTCTGTGAATTCTGTGAATTCTCCTGGAGCCACATGGCTGAGGCTGGCAAGGTCTCTGTGTCCTGTGGGGACAGCAGGTGTCTGACACAGCCAGTGTGATCCCTGTGGAGCTTCCCACAGGCTTCCCAAAGAATCTTAGGGATCAGCAGGCCTGGTCATGTGCTCAGTCAAGGCCAAATGCTGAAACATGAAAGGGTGGAGAGACCCTTGGTGGCTCCTCAGGATGTGTGAGCCCTTGGGGACCCTCCAGCTGGTCCCATGGCTCAGGGACTGCCCACACTGGGAGGGACAAAGCCAAGCCATGGGAAGGTGCCTGTGCAGGGGTCTGGATCCATCAAAACCTCCCAGGGAATGCTGTGTTATAACAGGGGCTCCATCCCTCCCCAGTCTCCTGAACACCAGAGCAGTGTCCAGCTGCTCCTGGAGGCCTCCTCAGCAGCATTTGGCCAGCGGCCTCTGCTCATGGAAGAGGAAAGGCCGTGCTCCTGCCATGGAGAGGAAAAGATAGGATTTCTTCCCAGAGGAAGGCACAGCATCAGCCCTTCCCTGCCCTGTGGGTGCCTTGTGCCAGCCTGGGCCTCTCCTCTGGGTTCCTCTCCCCAAGAAGACCTCTCCCATCCTTGTTTCTTGGCCATTAAGTCCTTCCCCTCCTGCCACGTGTTGTTACAGCAAGTGGCCAAGAAAATGAACCTGGATATGAGGAAAACATCCTCGCTGTGGAAGGACCAGGCGCTGGTGGAGATCAACATCGCTGTGCTCTACAGCTTCCAGGTACCTCACTCAGACCCTGCTGTGCCTGGGCCAGCTGGAGGGACACAGGGACAGGGTGGGACAAGTGTGGAGACATCCACCCAAGCACAATGGCTGAAATTGGGCTGTGCTCCTGAATTTGGGCTGCTGCAGTGAGATTTAATAATCTCCACACTCTGGATGTTGTAAAACAACACCACCAGCACCTGAGTCCTGCTGGTCCAGAAGGAATATCCCAGCAGGTGGGAAATCCAGCCCTTCTGACCTATCCATGAGGCAGGAACTGGCCCAGGCTCTCCCCCAGCCTGCACCTAAAGGCTGAGTAGCAAAACCAGTCCTTGGTGAAGCAGCCTCAAAGGGGGAAAGTCCTTCCCAGAGCTGGCTTGGAGCTGCCCTACTGGAAGAGCTTCCCAAGGGTCTGAGCAGAGGATGCTCCATTCCATCCATCCCATCCATCCCATCCATCCCACCATCCCATCCATCCCATCTATCCCATCCATCCCATCTATCCCATCCATCCCATCCATCCCATCCATCCCATCCATCCCATCCATCCATCCCATCCATCCCATCCATCCCATCCATCCCATCCATCCATCCCATCCATTCCATCCATCCTATCCATCCCATCTATCCCATCCATCCATCCCATCCATCCCATCCATCCCATCCATCCCATCCATCCCATCCCATCCATCCATCCCATTCATCCCATCCATCCATCCCATCCATCCCATCCATCCCATCCATCCATCCCATCCATCCCATCCATCCCATCCATCCCATCCATCCCATCCATCCCACCATCCCATCCATCCCATCCATCCCATCCATCCCATCTTTGCTTGGCCCAGGACAATTAGCAGGGGGAACAGGGCTCCCATAGCACATCTATTCTCAAAGCACTTTACAGCCCCCTTGGAAGACCAGGGTCAGCAGCCACCTTGGATCATCCCCAAAGACCATGAGAGTAAGGGATATTTGGGACAAACAGCTCCAGATGTAAAGTCATGGCTTTTTCCCTCTGGGATGTGTTGACAGCTGCTGGCTCTGCTCTCTTGTCCCCCTGCAGAGTGACAAGGTGACAATCGTGGATCACCACTCGGCCACCGAGTCCTTCATCAAGCACATGGAGAACGAGTACCGGTGCCGGGGGGGCTGTCCCGCCGACTGGGTGTGGATTGTGCCGCCCATGTCGGGCAGCATCACCCCCGTCTTCCACCAGGAGATGCTCAACTACCGCCTGACGCCCTCCTTTGAGTACCAGGTGCTGTCCCCACCCTCCACCGTGCCTCTGGCCCAGGGCGGGGCGGGAGCGGGAGTTCAGGAGGTGCAGGAAGGACACGGACACCATTCAACTCCTGCACAATGGATGTTTCACCCCAGCATTATAGTGTAATAATGGGGCTTTGCCCCTCCGTGGGGATGTGGGACACCTGAGCTCCCAGTTTTTAATCACACTTTGGAAGTGCCTAATGGGTGGGTGAGGAAATGGCCTGGAAGGCTCCTGGATCCCATTTCAGCCTGCAGGTTTGAGTGGATATGGCTCCTGGATCCCAAATCCTATATCCCATATCCCATCCTAGCCTGCAGGTTTGAGAGAATGGCTCCTATATCCCATATCCCACATCCCATATCCCATTCCAGCCTGCAGGTTTGAGAGAATGGCTCCTATATCCCATATCCCATATCCCATATCCCATATCCCATTCCAGCCTGTAGGTTTGAGTGGATGGCTCCTAGATCCCAAATCCCATATCCCATATCCCATATCCCATATCCCATATCCCATTCCAGCCTGTAGGTTTGAGTGGATATGGATCCTGTATCCTATATCCAATATCCCATATCCCATTCCAGCCTGCAGGTTTGAGAGGATGGTTCCTGGATCCCATATCCCATATCCCAAATCCCATATCCCATATCCCATATCCCATATCCCATATCCCAAATCCCATATCCCAAATCCCATACTCCATATCCAATGTCCTATATCCCATTCCAGCCTGCAGGTTTGAGTGGATATAGCTCCTGTACCCCAAATGCCATATCCCATATCCCATATCCCATACCCCATTCCAGCCTGCAGGTTTCAGAGGATGGCTGCTGTATCCCAAATCCCATAGCCCATATCCCATGTCCCATATCCTATATCCCATATCCCATTCCAGCCTGCAGGTTTGAGTGGATATGGCTCCTGGATCCCATATCCCAAATCCCATATCCCAAATGCCATATCCCAAATCCCAAATCCCATATCCCAAATCCCATATCCCCTATCCCAGCCTGCAGGTTTGAGACGATAGCTCCTGGATCCCATATCCCATACCCTATATCCCAAGTCCCATATCCCATATCCCATATCCCATATCCCATATCGCAGCCTGCAGGTTTGAGAGGATGCTCCTGCACCCAGGGGATCCAGCAGTGGGACAGGGGTTCAAACGCTGCTGCTGGGCTGTTGAACCCTGCAGACCCTGAGGAAAATCCCCTCCCAAGCACTCCCTCGTTATCCAGCCTTCCCTGCTCCGGTGCTTTCCACACAATGTGACCTTTAGTCAAGAGCCCTTAAGGAATAATCCCAGAGCAGGAGCAGTCTGTTCACTCCTTGCCCAGCCCACCAGGCACCCCGATGCTTCCTGGCTCTGACTGCAGCCTGCAAGGGCACAGGATGAGCTTCTGTGTGCCTGCTCCTGCCTTCAGCTGCCTCCCCTTCCCAAAGGGCCTCTTAGGGGAAAAAACCTGTGGCAGAGCAGGGGAAAGGATCTGTTTCCATCACCTCTCCCCTTCTGGCGTTGTCTTCTTTTTGGCTGTGGCCTATTAACGCTGTTCTCAAGAGGTGACAGAGCAATTGGCCAGATGCTGCTACAAGCCAGGAGGGTTTATTAGATTATTTCCTGGGCATGTTCCATTGCCCAAACAAACCCCCCACAAGGCTCCAAGGATCAGGGACACAGAGAGGAGAGGCAGAGCTGTGCAGTAGCAGCTATTCCTCCCCTTCCTGACGGGGAGAATTTAACTCTCAGTGCTGTGGATGCTGCATTTTCCCCTTCCTGACGGGGAGAATTTAACTCTCAGTGCTGTGGATGCTGCATTTCTCCAAGCCCTGGGCACTCCCCACCCTCTGATCCTGCTTTTCCCTCTCCTAGCCGGATCCCTGGAACACCCACGTCTGGAAAGGGGTCAATGGGACACCCACCAAGAAGAGGGCCATTGGCTTTAAGAAGCTGGCAAAGTGAGTACCAGCAGGCTCTGGAAAGGCCTGGAATGTTTGGGGCTGCTCCTGGATTTAGGCACCCTGTGAGTGTGTGCATCAGCCTACAGATGATGGGCTCTGAGCCTGGGCTTTGGGCCACTGAAGGCTTTACCTGCCATGAGGGACATTTGGGGACACAGGCAGTCCTTTGAGCACCCCCTCAGACCACCAAAAGGGGTGTGACCAGGTGAATCCCAGATCCTGGGTATTGTTTGTTCTCCCAAGCTGTTCATTCTCTGGTTAGCAGGTTTTGATTCTCAGGGATGGCTTTCCCACTTTTGGAGGGTGTTTTGCCCATTTTTCCTTTCCTTGGGGCAGGAAGATTCCCCCTCCTTCATCAGGGCTTGCTGGCACTTAGGAGATCCAACTCCTGTCCATATTCCTTCTTTTCCCACTGACTTTTCCCTACATGAGGAGAACCTGCCCCCAGTGTGTGCCCAGCCCTCCAAACACCTGCTTTGGAAGGAAGGGGGGAGATGGGAATGAGGAATCTCCCTGCAGGCAGCAGATGGATCCGGGCTGAGCTGAGATTTGCACTTCATGGTCAGTTGACCCCTGGCAAGGGGCCACCCCAGTCCCTCTTCCCTGCCAAGGCTCCTCAGCAGCAGGGATGCAGGAATGAAGCACAATTTGGCTGATTCTGGCCCAAATTCCTCCCCTGGGGGCCATTGGCAGAGAGGAGCTGCTGGTTCTGTGGCAGCAGAGCCCTGGGCCAAGGCAGGAGCGGGCTGGGTGTGCCCTGGGGACGGTGGCCAGGCTGCCAGGTGGCCCTGGCTCGTCACAGCATCTCCCCATGCTTCAGTTTCCCCAAATCCCTGCCATCAATTTGCTCCCACTCTTCAGCTGTCACCTCCTGCGAGCTGCTCTCCGTGGTGCATCCATAAACAGGAGCAGCAGCTGAGGAATGTGACACTGGGGCCGGGGGAAGAGCAGGAGGATTCATGGAGTTTGGAGAAAAAAAAATGCTTTTATTGCTCCCCTCTGCCCCATTGAGGGATGGTTTTATAAAAATGTGAGCGTGGCAGGTCATTTAAAACAAAATCTCCATTGTTCCTGGTGTAGGGAGAGGAATTGTTTTTGTAATTCACCATTAATCCTGTCTGGATCTGAGCTTATCAGCTGAAGAAGAGGCAGCCTGAGCCCAGAGCCTTGAGCATGATTTGGTGCCTGCTCAGACTCAAAAATCTGGCCAGATCTGAGCCTCCAGACCTGCAGTCCCTGCCCTGGGGACAGGGGCCAGAACTGCACTGAGAGTGGTGATGCAGCAGCAAACAGAAATGTTCCTGAGGCTGACCCTGCCAGGGGCAGGCAGGATAAACCAGCCTGCAGGAGTTTCTACCTCTTCTTCCCTCTTTTTGTCCTCCCTAAATGATTCCCCAAAGCCAGAGTATTCCTGGGCAGGAGGGGCAGGGGGAAGCTGGGCTCCTCCTGCCCAGTGTGACCACTCCAGTGTCACAGACATCTTTTTATGAAAAATCTTTTCTTTAGGATTTTTCCTCCTGAGAAGCTGAGAGGCCTCAGGAACAAAATGTAAACCATGATTATCTGCTGCTGTGGAATGCAACAGGTGCATCTGGGATTGGTCTCATAGAGTTGTTTGTAATTAATGGCCAATCACAGCCCAGCTGGCTCAGGCTCTTTGTCTGAGCCACAAACTTTTGTTATCATTCTTTTCTATTCTTAGCTTAGCTAGATTTCTGATGAAACTTTTTTTTCTATTTTAGTGTAGTTTTGATAAGCTTGATTTATTATTTTATATATATCATAAAATAATAAATCAAGCCTTCTGAAAAATGGAGTCAGATCCTCGTCTCTTCCCTCAACATAAGACCCCTGTGAACACAGTCACACCCCAGCTGCAGCCTCTGTTCCCCACAGCTCCTCTAAAGGGGCTGCAGGAGCCCTGCTGAACTCAAAAACCCGGGGCAAGGGCTGTCAGAGTGAATCAGGCAGCCCTTCCTGCTGCAGAGGCCAGAGATGCTTTGTGCTCCCTCAGACTCCCTAAAATCACCTTTCCCTGCTGCAACAGCAGCCTAAATCCAGACCTGATGGATTTCTGCTTTTCTGGTGGCCCCATTTAAAAGCCTGGTGGTCCACTTAGTAAAAAAAAAAATGTTTGGCATGTAGGAAAACCAGTGTTGATGTGCTATAAATGTCCCTAAAACAACAAACCCTCAATCCCTGTCCCCATCACGGTGCTCCCAGTGGTGCCACAGACAAGGAATCAGCATTCCTGGTGCTGCATCACCTGGGCCAGGGTTGGAGAGAGGCTGGGGACCCCCAGGGCCCCTCTGTGTGCCTGAGCCAGGGGGAAACCTGGAGGAAAAGCCCCAGGCATGGCTGAGGCACAGGAAAGAGCCAGCTGGGCACAAGGCTGGGGTAAATGTGCCACCCCCGGCCTGCTCCTCCCAGGGAAGGTCACCAGAGTGCAAATCACAGGCACTGGGACAGCTGGGTGTGACCTGGGTGTCCCCAGGCTCTGTGTGCAGCAGGGCTGGGTTGGATTTAAGGGATGGAGGAGCTGCTGTTCCTCCTGTAGCTCCAGCTCTGGTTGGTTCCAGCTTTTTCTCTTCTCTTCTCTTCTCTTCTCTTCTCTTCTCTTCTCTTCTCTTCTCTTCTCTTCTCTTCTCTTCTCTTCTCTTCTCTTCTCTTCTCTTCTCTTCTCTTCCCTTCTTTTTTATTTTCCCTGCCTCTGATCCTTCTCCTGCTCCTGTGCCCCTGCAGAAACACCACCCCCATGCCTGGTTTAGCATTTTCCTCCTTCACCCCATCCAGGTATTTGAGCTCTGTTCAAGCTCCCCCATCTCCTCTTCCTCTCTGACAAATCGAGCTCTTCCAGGCTTCTCTGTTTGCCATGTGACAACCAAAAAACTGATGCTGCAGCTTTGTAAGGCTGCTCATTTAATGGGAAATAAAAAGGTCTGGCCTAGAGGGATGGGTCAGGTCCAAGCTCTGACTGGGATTTATTCCTGCTTCCCAGGGCTGTGAAGTTCTCAGCCAAGCTGATGGGCCAAGCCATGGCCAAGAGGGTCAAGGCCACCATCCTGTATGCCACAGAAACAGGGAAGTCCCAGGTCTATGCAAAAACCCTCTGTGAGATCTTCAAACACGCCTTTGATGCCAAGGTATTGCTCCTGACAGGTGCTGGGTGTGAGATCATGGTGTGAAAATAGCTGCCAGAGGCCTTCAGGGTGTGCCCCTGTGGGTCTGGGGTGGAGGAAAATCCCTGATTTCCTGCCCTGATTGCAGCTGTGGCCTCTGGGGTGGCAGCCCCAGGGCTGGCCCTGTCCCTCCGGGCTCCTGTTCCCACCCTCCCCGTGCAGAGGTCCCAGCAGGGACGTGCTGTCCCCATCCCCAGCCTGCCCAGGAGGCTCCCAGCTCTCTGTGCCCTCTCTGTGCCCCCAGGTGATGGCCATGGATGAGTATGATGTGGTGCACCTGGAGCACGAGACCATGGTCCTGGTGGTCACCAGCACCTTCGGCAACGGGGACCCCCCTGAGAACGGAGAGGTAGGACAGCAGGGGACAGCAGGGACAGCAGGGACAGCAGGGGACAGCAGGGACAGCAGGGGACAGCAGGGGACAGGGCCAGGAACGTCCCCTTTTGGCTCAGACTGAGCTGGAAGGACCCAAAACAGGTCCAGGTGCTGCAGCTGCCTCCAGGCTGCTCTGGAGCAGGGACATCTCCTGGTTCCCTGCCATGACACAGCCACTGGTCCAATGTTCAGTTCGTGCTGTGTGACCCCAGCAGTGTCACACAGAAGGTGACAGTGCCCTGGCTGGGGGGCTGTGAGCTGGGCAGCGAGCAGGGAGCAGAGCGACAGCCCAGGCTGAGCTCAGGGCTTGGTTTCCTGCAAAACCTGGCAAAACTGATGGCCTTTTTTTGTTCTTTTTCTGTAGAAATTTGGCTGTGCATTAATGGAGATGAAGAATCCCAACTCCAACCTGGAGGAGAGGAAGTAAGAGCACCCCAACCCCTTCCCCTCCCACTCCAACCCTTTCCCCTCACAGTCCAAACCCCAGCATGCAGGACAGGTTTCCCTGCCTTCATCCTCTCACAGGGGAGGGGGAAATCCTCAGATCTCACATTTGCAAACATCCAGGAATGGGACCTGCCTGGAGACCCAGGGAATGGAGAGACTGGAGGTCCCAGGGAGGACAAAAACCCAGAGTCAGGGGTGCCTGTGGATCCCAGCTTGTAATTCCCTGGGGTGACATTTCAAAGCTTCTCTCTTCATCTTGAAGAGGCAGGAATCTGTGAAAACAACATATAAAAGTAGGAATTTTCCCAAAATCATCGATTCTGAGAGCCAGGGCCTGTCCAGGAGGCACCAAAATAGTAAGAGTTGGAGGTAGAAGGGAGTTCCCAGCCTTGCAGATGTAGGTGGGGGAGGGCTGGAGAACCAGATTTAGCTCCATGCATGGTGTGAAAAGATTTCTAGGGAAAATAAGAGCTGTGATAATCCTGTGATGTTTGTAACCGGTACCTAGGAGACAGAATGTGGGATTGTAGAAAATCCCCCTTCAGGGGAGGATGAGCTTTGTGCAGATCCCAGGGGGGGAAGGAAGGGAGGGCTCTGACAATGATCATTTGGGGTCTCCTCTAATTTTAGCTGTGAAGAATAAAATATTTCCCTGAACTGGGTCACTGCTGTGCCCTGGAATATCTCCTGAGCTGACAACTGGCACAGGGCTGCTCCTTAATTCAGGAGGGATCCAGGGCAATTCCAGCACCCTGGCTCAGGGCAGTGTCACCAGGGTGGTGACAAACACAGGGACCAGTTTGTCTGTGATGGCCCTGTCCCCTGGATGGTGACAAACACACAGGGACCAGTTTGTCTGTGATGGCCCTGTCCCCAGGATGGTGACAAACACACAGGGACCAGTCTGTGCTGGGATGGCCCTGTCCCCAGGCTGGTGACAAACACACAGGGACCAGTCTGTCTATGATGGCCCTGTCCCCAGGCTGGTGACAAACACACAGGGACCAGTCTGTCCTGGGATGGCCCTGTCCCCAGGCTGGTGACAAACACACAGGGACCAGTCTGTGCTGGGATGGCCCTGGCTCCAGAGTGGTGACAAACACACAGGGACCAGTCTGTCTGTGATGGCCCTGTCCCCAGGCTGGTGACAAACACACAGGGACCAGTCTGTGCTGGGATGGCCCTGGCTCCAGAGTGGTGACAAACACACAGGGACCAGTCTGTGCTGGGATGGCCCTGTCCCCAGGCTGGTGACAAACACACAGGGACCAGTCTGTGGCTCCCCAGAGCTGGCCCTGCTGATGGATCCCTGCAGGGCTGCCCAGCTGAAAACCCAGCAGGCTCCTCATGGCCTCGTGCCTCAATGGGGACAGTGACAGAGCAGGCTGCCCTGGAGGGGTGAGGATGGAGAAGGAGCATTCCACACGTGGTTCTCATCCCAAGGGTCTTCTCCTTGGGTGCAGAGGTGCTGCCCATGGCTGGTCAGGCAGATTTGAGGAGGTTAAAGCCCCTGAGCTTGGTGTTTGTTTGTCCCAGACACCTCCAAGTGTGATTTAAGGACTGGTGGGAGTTTCTAAGAGCCAGGCAGGGACACCCTGCACTGTCCCAGGCTGCTCCAAGGCCCATCCAGCCTGGCCTTGGACACTTTCAGGGATCCAGGGATCCACAGCTTCTCTTTTCGGGATTGCCCCAACCAATATCCAGGAGCTTGCTAGCATCAAGCACACAAAAAACCTTTTGCAATGAGAAAAGGAGACCTGGAGGAGGCAGTGGGGGGAAGAGGGACAATGTCAGCCTGGTTAAAGGCACCTGGAGAGAGCAGCTCCTGCCCATGCAGCCCTGAGGGATCCCAGCTCCCCAGGGAATGCTGAGATCCCTCAGGGCAGGGTGGCCTTAGTGTGACAGTGTCACAGGAGCCTGTCAGGGCTCTCTGCCTGAGGCTGTGCTGGGCTTGGTATTTGGCTCCTCATGTCTTACAGCAAGGGTTTCCCAAGGGTTTTCCAAAACATTCCTATTCCAAACCTGCTGTTGAAGTGCAGCCCATCCATCCCACACCACAGGGACCTTCTCATTCCAGCTGCTGTCCCAGCCTTGGGCCCAGCACCCAGCTGGGCAATTTGGGCTTTGTGTTCCTCTAATCCAGAGGGTTCTGCTGCCCTGAACAGAGCCTGGGTTGCAGAAAATCTCCCACACTGCAAGATGAGCTGGGAGCACCTCAGAGGCCGGGGAGGGAGGGCCCCTAACCCGGGATAACCCAGGGGAGGCCATGGCCAGGGCCAGCAGAGTGGAGGAGCAGAAAAGCGTGGAGGTCTGGGGAGACGGGGGAGGCTGGGGGGCAGAGGTGGCCCTGGGGCCCTGTGACCCGGCTGTCCCTGACTCAGGCCGTGCTCTCCCATGCCGTGCCGTGCCATGCCGTGCTGTGCCGGCTGCAGGAGCAGTGCTGTGCCAGGCTGTGCCGGGCCGTGCCGGACTGTGCCATGCCGTGCTGGGCCGTGCCATGCCATGCTGTGCCATGCCGTGCTGGGTTGTGCCGTGCCATGCCATGCTGGCTGCAGGAGCTGTGCCATGCCATGCCATGCGTGCCATGCCGTGCCGTGTCGTGCTATGCCATGCCATGCCATTCTGGCTGCAGGGTCGTGCCGTGCTGTGCCGTGCCATGCCATTCTGGGCCGTGCTGTGCCATGCCGTGCCATGTCGTTCCGGGCTGTGCTGTACTGTGCCGTGCCATGCCGTGCCATGCCGGGCCATGCCGTGCCATGCCGTGCCATGCCATGCCATGCCATGCCATGCTGGGCCATGCTGTGCCATGCCGTGCCATGCCATGCCATGCCGTGCTGGGCCACACCGTGCCATTCCGGGCCGGGCCGTGCCATGCCATGCCATGCCAGGCCATGCCATGCCAGGCCATGCCGTTCTGGGCCATGCCATGCCATGCCGTGCCATGCCATGCCATGCCATGCCGGGCCATGCCATGCTGTGCCATGCCATGCCAGGCCATGCCGTTCTGGGCCATGCCATGCCGGGCCATGCCATGCTGTGCCATGCCATGCCGGGCCATGCCGTTCCGGGCCGGGCCGTGCCGGCTGCAGGAGCTGTGCCGTGACTCATGCACACAGCGCTGCTCACTGCTCACTGCTCTGCCTGTAAATTTAGAAACTCTTGTGCGGAGCAATTTTGGGAGATGGCTCAATTTAGAAATACTTCTGCTGTTGTCAGATTTTATTTTTTTTCCTCGGCTCCCCTTCCCCCTCCTCACCCCTTCTTCTCTCACTCTGGTTTTTGTTTTGTTTTTTTTTTAATTTCCCACTTCCTATGAATGAAAGAACCCTCAGAATATCTCTTCAGACACACACACCCGACCTTGTGTGCTGCCAGGGAAGGGCAGGTAAAGCCCAAGGTCCTGGCAGCTCTGTGTCACTGTGGTGGCCAGCACCACAATGGGAGGTGACCAGGACCTCATGGAGCATCCCTGCTCCAGCTGGGGATGCTCAGGGGTTGCTATGGCTCTACCCCCGGAGGGAGCACATTCCTCTGCTCTTCCCACACTGCCTGCTGGTGGAATCATGAGCCCTGAGCTCTGCTTTGGAGCCCCTCTGTGAGCCCCAAGCCAGGGGGTGCCCCCAGTGTGAGCCTGGCTGCTGTTGTTGCCCACAGGAGCTACAAGGTCCGGTTCAACAGCGTCTCCTCCTACTCGGACGCACGGAAATCCTCCAGCGATGGCCCTGACCCCAGGGACAACTTCGAGAGCACGGGGCCCCTGGCAAACGTCAGGTAAAGGGACAGGGCAGGAGCCAGTGCTGCACAGACCCCACCTCACCCCGAGGTGTTGGGGCGATGTGCAGACCCCTCCAGGCTGCTGTGGGTGGTGGTGGGACAGGAGGGGCCAGCTGTGCTCTGGCAAATTTAAAATATCCTTTTTCCTGTCATGTTTCTGTGAGACCTGCCTCTGAACTGAAGTAATCCAGATCAGTAGCTGCGATTTTTAAAACTTAATAGCTATATCTGGATGAAGCTTTTGAACTTGACCTGTCATTTGCTGACTTGCTACCCAGACATGTGGTCTCCAGTGCAGCACAAACTGCAAATTTTCACCAAAGCCACACATCAAGTGAATTCTGAGAATAAATTGTTCATATAGTAAGCGAAAACAGCTGCATTGTGGTGAGTCACCCCACTGCACACTGAGGTTGAAAACTGCTCATCACCTTGTGTGCTGAGAGAATTGTGAGCCCTACAATTTAGGGACCACATTAATAAACTCTGGTGTCTTCTGGTGGGATTACCTTCCCCCTCAGGGTCCCTCCCAGCTGAGCAGCCACAGCTGAGCCATCTTTGCACAGGTTCTCCGTGTTTGGGCTGGGCTCCAGGGCTTACCCCCACTTCTGCGCCTTCGCCCGTGCCGTGGACACGCTCCTGGAGGAGCTGGGGGGAGAGAGGATCCTCCGCATGGGAGAGGGGGATGAGCTCTGTGGCCAGGAGGAATCCTTCAGGACCTGGGCCAAGAAGGTCTTCAAGGTAACCTGGGGCTGCAGGGAGGAGCAGGGGGGAGAAGGACGGAGCTTGGAGCTGGATCCGAACCCAGCCTCCCCTTCCTGGCCCCGGGACACTCCAGCACCGCCCCAGCCCACAGTAAAGAGGGTGGAGCTGATGCTCTGCTTTGTGCTGGCCACCCAAAGGTCACCAACATGTTGAATCCCTGCATCATCCCAGATAGGTGGGAAGGAGAGCACCACCAGGAGAGCCATGGCCATGGCCACTGGTACAGCCCCACGCTGCTGGGGGCTCCTTGTCCGTGTGGTCTGGGTGAGGGGGTCAGCTGGGCTGAGGGGGTGCCTGAGGGCCTGGTGGGTGCTGCAGGCAGCGTGTGACGTGTTCTGCGTGGGGGACGACGTGAACATCGAGAAAGCCAACAACTCCCTGATCAGCAACGACCGCAGCTGGAAGAGGAGCAAGTTCCGCCTGACCTACGTGGCTGAGGCCCCAGAGCTCACACAAGGTACAGGCCTGGAGGGCTCTGCCTGTGGGGAACATGGGCAACACACAGGGCTAGAGGGGCCAAACCCCTTTTTTTTGTCTCTGTTGAATTCCCAGTGTTTCAGCCCTGCCTTTTCCCCCATCCCATGCCCAAGGAGCAGCCCCAGGCCCCTCAGGCCAGTCCTGTCTGTGTCTGTAACAGAGATGCTTGGACCTGATCTGCTCTCCCTCATCCTGACCCTGTTTCTTTGTCTCTGTTAAATCCCCAGTGTTTCAGCCCTGCCTTTCCCCCCCATCCCATGCCCAAGGAACGGCCCCAGGCCCCTCAGGCTGGTCCTGTAACAGAGATGTTTGGACCTGATCTGCTCTCCCTCATCCTGACCCTTTTTTTGTCTCTGTTAGATCCCCAGTGTTTCAGCCTTCCCTTTCCCCCCATCCCATGCCCAAGGAGCAGCCTCAGGCCCTTCAGGCCAATCCCTGTCTGTGTCTGTAACAGAGATGTTTGGGCATGGTCTGCTCCGATGTTGCAGTGTGTTTTTATTTTGCAGGTTATTGTTTGATTCGTTGTTTGGTAGTTTTTTGGGCTTTTTTCCCCCCTGCTTTTAGAGTGACACAGACTTTCTTTGTTATTCAGTTGAGCCAGGTGTCAGTTTATCTCTTTGCTACTTAGCTACATTTCTGCCAAGTGTCAAACCCCTTGCTCCCACATCCAGTTGTTAAACCCCTCCTGTCCCAAGCAGTTTTCCTCCCTTGTATCCCCTTGCCCTTGTGTTCCACCCCCAGCCCTCCTCCTGACCCCTTTTTTTTGTCTCTGTTAAATTCCCAGTGTTTCAGCCCTGCCTTTCCCCCCATCCCATGCCCAAGGAACGGCCCCAGGCCCCTCAGGCCGGTCCTGTCTGTGTCTGTAACAGAGATGTTTGGGCATGATCTGCTCTCCCTCCTCCTGACCCCATTTTTTGAAGCAAGGAGCTGGAAAATTGGGATCTTTCCAGGCTTATTTTGTCCAAGGCTGCTCCGTGGAGCGTTGTGGAGCAAAGGCAGGTCCAGCCCATGGACACCTGGCCCCTCAGCATGGCTCCTGCAGCTCCTGCAGCACCAGCTCAGCCCTGCCCAAACCCAGGCGCTCTCCTGCCAGCCAGGTGGCACTGGCAGCAAGAGGAGCTGTGGGCAGTGTGAGGGCACTGCCCTGAGTGTCACAGGGGTGGTTTTGGAGTCTTCTGTCACTAAAAAATGTGCTTGGGTCACCCCTGGGGTTCCTGATCCCTTGGGCTCACAGGAGGGAGGTCAAACCCCTGTGGTCAGCTCTGGTCTGAGGGGCTGAACCCACAATGATCCTACAGAAGCCTTGGCCATGCTCTGCTGAATCCCTTCCCTGACTCTTTTCCTCCTCAGGACTGTACAGCATCCACAAAAAACGTGTCTATGCAGCCCGGCTCCTCACACGCCAGAACCTGCAGAGCCCCAAGTCCAGGTAGGAGATGCAGCTGTCCTGGGAGCTGGACACACACCTGGGGCACCCAGAACAGTGCTACAAACAGCCCTTGAGCCCTGGATGTCTGGGGAATCCACCTTTGTGCTGGCCATGAGTCAGCCTGGAAGGCAGTGGGGGTGTTCCTGCCCTCCATGCATGGCAGAATTCCTGCTGGTCCCTCCCTCAGCCCATGGGATGGGGAGCTGGCTGGAGGGGTATGGGAACCCAGAACATCCCTCTGGCTGTCCTGAGCAGCCAAAACCCCTGCCAGGGGGCTCAGAAGCCCTGGCACAGAGCCCAAAACACCTGTGGGTTTGATTATGGCCCATGGAGCAAATCACCAACCTTAGATGAAGATCTGCCATGACAAATTAGGTAGAATAATAGTGAAGTTATCACGGGATGAAAAGTAGGTTTTAGGGTTTTGGTATGGGGGTTCAGGAGGCAAGATGGAGGGAACTGGGTGTGTCCAGCCTTTCTCCTCCTTGGCCTCCACCTTCTGCTGTGATGGTGGCACTTTTGGATTGGTTTAGAGTAGAAGCTCACTGTCTAACACAGGTGATGGGTATTGGAAAGGAATTGTAAACATTGTACAGGTAGTTTTTAGTACAAAGACATAACCCTGCCCTGGGGGCAGGCAGAGTGCCTGGAACTGTCCTGCTGGATGGACCTCGGCAGGGCAGGAGAAAATTTTTATAGATGAGAAACAATGAACAACCTTGAGCCTGAGAAATGAAGAGCCCTGACTCCTTCTTTGAGCACCAGGCTGGGAAAAGAGACTTTCAAACTTTTCTCGGGGTAACTCTGACCAGCTAAAGATCTTGACAGAGGAGCAGCAAAGGAAGGATAAAATTGCTGAGCAAGAGGTTCAATTGGTTTTCCCCTTTTAAAAAGTCCCTGAGGGTGAGTCAGGGTGTGCTGCAGTGTCCCTTCTCCCTGCTGCGACCTTGGTGACACGGCCACCACAGCTTGGACGTGCCACCACCCCTTCCCAGTGCACCAGCAGCTCCTGAGGCCAGGGCTCAGCCTCTCCCTGAAGGATCTTTGGGGGCTTTCCCAAAGATCATCCCAAAGTCAGTGATTTTGGGGAAGGATCCCCCAAACCACTTTTTCCTGCTTTTGCTCCTCGCCCTGCAGCCGCCTGACGATTTTCCTGCGCCTGCACACCAACGGGCACCAGGAGCTGCAGTACCAGCCCGGGGACCACCTGGGCGTCTTCCCAGGCAACCACGAGGACTTGGTCAATGCCCTCATCGACAGGCTTGAGGATGCCCCTCCAACCAACCAGCTGGTGAAGGTGGAGCTGCTGGAGGAGAGGAGCACGGCTCTAGGTAACCAGGGAGCATAGGTGGCCTCTCTCCTCCTTTCCCTGAAGTTCTTGTAGCTCCTCAGGGAGGTGGGTGGCCCTAGGAAAATTATGTTCATCTGCCTGCTGTGTTTGTGTGGATTGGGAGCTCCACCTTTATCCCTGCCCTGCCCAGAGCCATTGCTTGTCTGCACTTGGGATGTGGAGCAAGGGTTTGAAGGGTGTGACAGTGGTCATAGGGGACCAAGGATGAGGGAAGAGATGAGGATCTGACTCCATGTTTCAGAAGGCTTGATTTATTATTTTATGATATATATTATATTAAAACTATACTAAAAGAATAGAAGAAAGGATTTCATCAGAAGGCTGGCTAAGAATAGAAAAAGAATAATAACAAAAGCTTGTGACTGATTGAGACAGTCCGGACAGCTGGACCGTGATTGGTCATTAATTAGAAACAACCAACATGGGCCAATCACAGATCCACCTGTTGCATTCCAAAGCAGCAGATAATCAATGCTTACATTTTGTTCTTGAGGCCTCTCAGCTTCTCAGGAGAAAAAATCCTAAGGAAAGGATTTTTCATAAAAGATGTTTGTGACAGAAGGGTGGGCAGGGTCCTGGGGAAGATTTTCCATGGAAAAAACTAAAGGTGTTTATATTCCCTTAGAAAGGGCAATGTCTAGGACTGGGAAGAAGAATTAAGGGATGTGGAGGGGCCATCCCAACACTGGATTTCAGGGATTTCCTGATTCCCTGCCTGAGATGGAAAACCCTAATCCAGTGCCTCAGAGGGGGATAAGAACAGGATTTGCCCACCTTGGCCCTGTTTCTCAGCTGATGCCAGGCTCGTGCTGGATTCCCTCCTGGCAGGTGTCATCAGTAACTGGACAGACGAGAACCGTGTCCCACCCTGCACCATCTTCCAGGCCTTCAAGTACTACCTGGACATCACCACCCCTCCCACCCCGCTGCTGCTGCAGCAGTTTGCTCTGCTGGCCACCAGTGACAAGGAGAAGAAACGTCTGCAGGTGCTCAGCAAGGTAAAGAGCCCAAGCCCCAGGTTCTGCAAGGGCCTGGGGGCAATCACAGCCCAGCCAGGGCATTTCCATCCCACACTGTGCTTAGGCTGAGTCTCCAGCCCTGAGCAGGGCTCATGGTGCCTTCACTGCCCCCCTCTCCAGCTTTGCCACGGACCTCGTGGGATATCAGCTGGAAAAGGTGGATCCTGCAGCTCTCTCCTCTCTCCCTCTCTCTTTCCCAGGGCTTGCAGGAGTATGAGGAGTGGAAGTGGTCCAAGAACCCCACGATTGTGGAGGTGCTGGAGGAGTTCCCCTCGGTGCAGATGCCCTCCACGCTGCTGCTGACCCAGCTGCCCCTCCTGCAGCCTCGCTACTACTCCATCAGCTCGTCCCCAGAGATGTACCCAGGGGAGGTGCACCTCACCGTGGCTGTGGTGTCCTACCGCACCCGAGGTACCGCCCCAGGGCTGGGCTCTGGGGGAAACAGCACAGGGGCAGCCACAGCAAACCTCGGGCAGGGAGATGTGCCTTGGAGGCCCTTCTGCCTGCTGCAAGAGTAGATTCCCCCAAACCACTGCTGGCCTATGTCATGGAGAGCGGCAGTGACACAGAGGTGACACTTCTGGAGTGGTGTCTTGGTTTGAATAGCCAGGTGTTTGCTAAGGAAGGCAGGAGACTGCCCTGAAATGGAAAATGTAAACCCTCTGTGTCTGAATTATTATAATTTTGAAATTAAGGGGCTCTCAGGTAAAGATATGGGAGTAGGAATAACAGTTCTTTACTAGAAAAATTAAAAATACAAATGCAATACAAAGAACAAAAAAACAAACCCCAGCCAGAGTCAGAGCATGCCCTGTCCCCCTGTGTGTCAGGGGGTGGCACAGCCCCATCCCATGGGGGCTCAGCCCTCCTGCAGTGCCAGCTGTGGCTCTGCTGGAGCAGGGATCCTGCACAAGGGGGGAGTTTTCCTCTGCAGCTCCAGGGCTGCTGGAGATGGGCCTGGGCTCCCTCTGGCCATGCAGGGCAGCAGAAGCTGCTCCTCTGGCAATGCACTGGGCAAAGGCTGCTGTGCTGTGCCAGGCTCACATTGGATCCAGGTAGGAATGCTTGGCTCCTGCCCTGGGCAATGCAGCATCTCCCCATGGGATGCTGGAATTGGATCAGCCCTGCAGGGACACTCAGTGGCCATGGACAGCAGAGATCTCCTGCAGGGAGGATTGGCTGTGGGAGAGATAAAGGAAAAACTGCCCCATGGACAGCAGAGAACTGCCCCAGCTCTGACAGATGGGGACAGAACACACACCCACAGCTGCACCTTTCAGCCTGAGACAGGCAGGTCCATAACCCAAGCTCCATGTAGGATTGTGTTTGCCCACCCTAAAATCCACATTCCCAGTAGCCAAACTTGTGCAGCAGTGACACTGATGTGTCCAGGCACGGTCATGGTGTGGATGGGCACAGTCCTGGTGCTCTGCAGGACACAGGGAGGACAGTGGAGCTGCCATGGAGGGTTTGTGTCTGGGTGCATCACAATGCTGCTCCTGCCAAAAATGCTCAAAGGAGAGCTGTGTGCTCCCTAAGGATTGTGGAGGTCCAGCTCTGCCAGGTCAGGGTCCTGGGTAGCTCCACAGAGGGATCCAAGTGCAAAACTCTGCCAAATTCTTGGAGAATGGATGCTGAGATATGAATGTTTCAGGCAGGTGTTCATGCAGGATGTAGCAGGGAGGGTTTTAGGAAAGAAAACAGTGATGTGCCACGTACAGACCTCCTTCCCTCCCTCCCTCCCTTCCCAGATGGAGAGGGACCCATCCACCATGGAGTGTGCTCCTCGTGGCTCAGTCGGATCCAGACGGATGAAGTGGTGCCCTGCTTTGTACGAGGGTGAGTGACCCACAGAGGCCAGGCCTGAACAGGAGGGGGTGAAACCCCTCCCAGGATGTGCTCTCTGCCCTCAATTGTTGTCACAGTGTGGGAGAAAACAGGGCTGGGTTTGTGAGCAAATGGTTCCCCTTTGAGGGAAATTCTGCACAAAATGTCACATCCTGGGATTTCACCTCATTCTCTGCCCCTCATTCTCTGGGAGCTGGCTGTGGGCAGAGGGAACACCCTGCTGGTGTTTAACTGGAGCTTTGCTGTGTGCAGTGCCCCCGGGTTCCACCTGCCCCAGGACCCCCAGGTGCCCTGCATCCTCATCGGCCCCGGCACCGGCATCGCCCCCTTCCGCAGCTTCTGGCAGCAGCGGCTCTTCGACATCCAGCACAAAGGTGGGGCCGTCCTCTTCCTCACCTCACGGAGTTTGGGTGGGGCCGTTCTTCCTCGCCTCACAGATTTTGGGTGGGGCCATCCTCTTCCTCACCTCACACAGATTGGGTGGGGCTGTCCTCTTCCTCACCTCACAGAGTTTGGGTGGGGCCGTCCTCTTCCTCACCTCACACAGATTTGAGGTAGAGCTGTCCCCTGTTTCACCTCACACAGATTTTGGGTGGGGCCATCCTTCCTCGCCTCACACAGATTTTGGGTGGGGCCATCCTTCCTCACCTCACACAGATTTTGGGTAGGGCCGTCCTCTTCCTCCCCTCACAGATTTTGGGTGAGGCCGTCCTTCCTCTTCCTCACCTCACACAGATTTTGGGTGAGGCTATCCTCTTCTTCACCTCATTTTGGGCAGGGCCATCCTCGCCTCACCCAGATTTTGGGTGGGGCCATCCTCTTCCTCATCTCAGGTAGATTTGGGTGAGGCTGTGCTCTTCCTCACCCCACAGATTTAGAGCTGCCCCCTGTTTGACCTCACACAGATTTTGGGTGGAGCCATCCTCTTCCTCACCTCACACAGGTTTTGGGAACCCTTGGTTGGGGTGTTGGGATGGGGGTCCCGCCCTGCTGGGGGTGTCCCAGCAGATCTGGTGGCAGTGTGGAGGGAGGCGACTCGTGGGAATTGGAGATGTCTCGTGGGAATTGGAGGTGGCTGGTGGGAACTGGTGGCCCCTCGTGGGAATTGGTGTCCCTGGGCTGAGAGCTGTCCCCACGCTGTCCCCAGGGCTGAAGCCGTGCCCCATGGTGCTGGTGTTTGGCTGCCGGCAGTCCAGGATTGACCACATCTACAAGGAGGAGACGCTGTTTGCCAAGAGCCAGGGTGTCTTCAGAGAGCTGTACACGGCCTATTCCCGGGAACCTGACAGACCAAAGGTGGGCATGGCCCTGGGAATGCTGCCCAGCCTGGGCAGGGTCCCTGGCCACTGGTGGCTCATCCCTGGGGCACAGAAATGGGCAGGGTTGTCCCTTCCCTGTGGGCACCATTCCCAGAGTGTGTCACCATCCCAGTGCCAGCCAGAATGTGTGCCCAGGCTGCTCCTGCTGCCATCCAGGTGGGAGAGGAGGAGGGGAAAGGAGAATGGGAAAAGGGAGGAGGGGAAAAAGGAGAGGGAAAAGGAGAAAGGAAAGGGGAAAGGGGAAAGGAGAGGAAAGGTGAGGAAAGGGGAAAGGGGAAAGGAAAGGGGAAAGGGTATCACCCAGTGGAGTGACCCACAGCCACTGCAAATACCTGCTCCAAATTCCCACTGGGACTGAACAGGCCTGGCAATGGAAGAGATGGTGCAGGTGTGCCCATGCAAGAGCAGAAGGATGCTTTGCTGCTGTCCCCATCTCTTTTTTGTCACTGTGGGTGCTGCAAGGCACAGCTGTGTCCCCCAAAGAGGGGCCACCCCTCAGTGCTGCCCCCAGGGCAGGACAAACCCGAGTTAATCCCAGCTCCCTCCTCATCCCTCAGAAATACGTGCAGGACGTGTTACAGGAGCAGCTGGCCCAGACCGTGTTCAAAGCTCTGAAGGAGCAGGGAGGCCACATCTACGTCTGCGGGGATGTCACCATGGCCGGGGACGTCCTCAAGGCCGTGCAGCTCATCGTGAGGCAGCAGGGCCAGCTGTCAGCAGAGGAGGCAGGAGCCTTCCTCAGCAAGCTGCGGGTGAGTGCTGTCTGCAGCGTGCCACCACTGCCACTCCTGCCAGGGGCACTGCACCTGCTGCCTGCCCCTGTGCCCAGGCAGGGTCAGCAGGGGGACATGCCAAAGGTTTCTGTGTGCAGGGAGGTCACCTGGCTCCTCTGGGCAGCGGGCTGAGTACCAGTGCCAGCGCTTTTGGGCGCCCCTGGCAGGGCTTGTTGGCCATCCGTCAATAAATGGATTTATCAGGGCATTTTGTGGGTCCCCGCTGCAAATCTCCCTGTCTGGGCAGCCTGTGCCAGACACAGATGATGCAGCTGAAGCTTAAGTGAGCTCAGTTTGGGACACAGACCCACGGGTGGGTGCTGGAACAGCTCTGCTTCTCCACAGAAGGATAACTCAGCATGATTCCCATGGGATTTCCCCTTCTGAACCATGTCCCCACCTCCACCCAGGCCCCATCCAAGGGAGCCCAGAGCCTCTGCCTGTCCACAGACTGTGCATTTGCCAGCCAGGAATTTCCAGCAGCTGAGGGAGTTCTGATGCCCAGAACAGCCCTACTGTGCCCAGGGTGTGACCTTGGGAAGGTCACTCTGTCCCCTCGTGACAAACCCCAAACCCTCTCCTGCGCTTTTGCTGCCTCCCCACCATGCAGGATTTTGCTGGAGCTGACCCTGAGTGCTCACAAATGCCCTTTTTCCCTCTGCCACCCTCCCTCCCAGGATGACAGCCGGTACCACGAGGATATTTTTGGAGTCACCCTGCGCACGTACGAGGTGACAAACCGCCTTAGATCCGAGTCCATTGCCTTCATCGAGGAGAGCAAAAAAGACACGGATGAGTGAGTCCACACCTTTGTTTTAACCCCTGCAGCCACCTCGTGGGCTGGGAAAGGATGGGGAAGGAAGGATGGGGAAGGAAGCTTTGGTTTTTGTGCACACCTTGAAGCAGAGGCTGAGGAAGGCACTGATTTTTGCTCTGGAATAGCTGTCACCTCTCTAGGATAAATCCCCCCAGCTTCCCAATTTATTGCACTGATGTGCTCAGACCTGACAATCCCATGCAAAGGAAAATGGTCCTGCCTGCTTCCAGGCTGGCAAAACCCACAGGCAGGGGTGGCTCTCCCCAGCTGCAGGGAAGCCTGGCTGGCTCCAGGTGTTGTTCAGCTCTCCATGCCCCTTCAGGAAAGATCCAGAGATTTTTCTCCCTGATGCTACAAAAACAACCAGAAGTTAAAAAAAAAAAAAAAAAAAAAAAAAAAAAAGAAATTTTGACATTTGCCGTGTTTGTTTCTGCTCCACCAAGTCCTGCCATTTGCTCAGCTTGGTCGTGGTGGGATTTTCCCTGGCTGAGCAGAAGGATTATTTAGGATAAAGGCTGGGGCAGCTGCATGGATCGTGCTCCTTGTGCTGGCCCTTGGCAGCTTGGGGTGAAACCCCTTCCTTGTGTAGTGCCTGAAATGGGTTTCCCCACATCCCTGAGGCTTGGCAGGAATTTTTCTCCAAGGAATCACATCCTCTGGGGTCTGGACTCTACCAGAGTGCCTCAGTTTCCCACCTGTGGATAGGGCTCAAGGTCACCTTCCTGCCCAGCCCCCCAGCTCTGTAAACTCCTGCCCACCACACGGAAAGGCCAGGTCAGGGTGATCCCGGTGCTCCTCACTGCTCCCTCTAAGGCCAGCCTTTCTCCCCTTTCCCTTGCAGGGTTTTCTGCTCCTAACTGGACCCTTCGCCCCCAGGGGATGCCAAACCAGTCCCAGCACCTGCTGCCCCCTCCAGCTGGAGGGCACTGGGTTTTGTATTTCACGGACACGGTGGCTCCTTTCCCAGGGGAACTGCCCATGGAAAGCGCTCTGTCTCTCGTCCTGTTCTTGTGTCCTGATGATGATGATGATGATGATGATGACTTTTATTTCCTTTCCTTCCTCCTTCTCTTGCTCTTGTCCTGTGGCCATTTCTTTTCACCTCCTTCCCCTCCCCTGGATTTCCCCACTGGAGTTGGATGGCTTTATAACCTGCAGTGGCTCTTTTCAGAATTCCACACTTCCCCTCCTTCCCGTGAGGGCATTTTGCAGCTGCATGAAATCACCACCTTTGTGATCATTTGTGGGAGTTCCTGGGGGTGAGCAGAGGTGGCAGGGGCTGGGCAATGGTGAGGTCTTGTTGCTTGTCCAGAGCTGGGGTTGTTCCTGCCAAGCTGCCTCTTTCCCCAGCTCGGGGCTTGGCTGAATCTTTGTGTTTTCATGGCTTTTCTCTGGATATGGGCAAACCTGGACATATGCCTGAGGCTGGGGGCAGATGATGTGCAATTCCCTTGAATTTTATTCATCCCCAAGCATCCTGGGTACAGCTGTGTGGTTTTTGATCTGATTTATGTGTCATGATTGCTCCTAAATGGGCCCTGCTCTGTCTCTCTTCTCCTGCTCTCTTTTCCTGCTCCCTGTGAGCCTCTCCTTTTGCTCACTCCCAACTTTTGCTGCCATGGAAGTTCTCCCACAAGCTCTGAGCACACAGGCTGATGTGCAGGCCGAGGAAAAGCTCCTGGCAATGACTTCTCCAGGGGGGTTTTCCAGAGAATATTTGATCTGCAGCCATGCTGGCTGCACCCAGAGCTTTGCACACCCTGATCCCCCTCCCAGGTGAGCCTGGAAAGCCTGGTGAGCCATGGAAAGCCATGAGGATGGGACAGAAGCAGCTCCCAGAGGGAACAAAGGCAGCACTGGGAGGGGGATGGAGGCTCCAGGTCTTTGGTGAGGATGTGCCAACAGAGGAATCATGAAATCCCAGAGCTCTTAGCACATCTCATGAGCACTTCTGGGACAGCAGATGCCAGCCCTTTCCACATTTCAGGGAGCAGAAAGTGCCACTGTGGAGCCACCTGCCTGCCAAGAGAGACATGTGTGGCATTCAGGGGGTGAGGCCCCTCTGTGCCACCTGCCAGTGGCACGAGCTGTCTCAGCCAGGACAGCTCCTGTGAGAAGGGAGGTGAGATCAGCTGCAAAGGTGCTGGGCTCTGACACGCTCACACCTCAGCCCTCCTGCAAGAGCCTGGCCCCAAAAGCAATTTAACACAACCACAGAGAGGTTGGAGGAAACAGAAAGGCTCTAACAGAGAAAAGCTGTCTGCAAGGGAAAGCAAACGTGACCTTGTGTGTCCTTCCTGCTGCTGCACCCTGGAGCATCACAGAATATTCTGAACTGGAAGGGACCCACAAGGATCCAGCCCAGCTCCTGATGAATGGCCCATCCAGGGATTGAACCTCAGCGTTTTTTGGCCCTGCCCATCCCAGCTTTGTCCTCCCTCACTGTCAGCACAAGGACAGCAGGACGTGGCTGCAGCTCTTGCTGGAGGCAGGCATGCAGGGTTGGCATCTTGAGGTGGCAGCTGCTGATGCTCCCCTCCTGCCCTGCTGTGCCCAGCTGTGCATGGATATCCTGGATATGAGGAGCCGAGTTCCTGAACTGCTGACAGCACAGGGATTGCCCAGGAGCTTTCACAGGGCTCAGTTCTCCTGCCCTGAGCTAAAGGCAGCACAGAAAGGGCTGCAGGAGCTCTGCCACTCTCCCAGCCCTTGGAACAAACCCCACCATCCCAGGCTGTGTTGTTATTCCCACCTTCAGCCAGGATCTCCTGCTACATCTCCGTGGGCTGGGACACCTTCTGCAACTTCGACTCCCTGAGTCCCTGAAACATCTCCAGCCCAAAACCCAGGAGCAAAAGGGCTCCAGGCACCGGGAGAATTTGAGATCCAGGTCTGCTGGTGCCAGCTGAGCATCCAACACGGGATAAAACGAATAAATGCTGCCACGGTGTGGCCAGAGCTGAGCAGGGCTGGGACACACGGCCGGCTCTGTGGCACTGCCTCGGCATTGAGGACCTGCAGGGGAAAGCTAGGGAGCACGGAGGAAAGGACAGCCCACCCCAAACCCAGGGCAGGCAGAGGGATGGGCCCCTTGGCTTGGGATGTGTGAGTTTGGGAGAGGTCCTCTCTGGGAGAAAACTCCCTGGCTTCAGAGCTGGGAATTTGCTGCAAGCTTGACCCTCATCCTGGGGCTGCAGGAACAAAGCTAAAATCAGAAAGAAAATCAGACTCATCCTCTTCTTCTGGGAAATTCTGGCTCCTGCTTTATGCTCTGGTTCTCCTTTAGAAGAAGGGAAGATGCCACCTGATGATGATGAGGAGGAGGAGGTAATGCCCAAAGAAACATCTCTTTGTCCTCTTCCCAGCTCCCACCGTGCTGCTGGCAAGGTTTCCCCCTGTCCTGCCTCCTGCCTGCCCTGCTGTCCCCCCTCCCACCTGCAGCCTGTGTCTGAGCTGGATTATCTCGCTTCTAGTGCATCCCAAAGCTCATCAGCTCCATGTCCCCTCCCAGGGGAGCCAGCAGGGTCTGCAGAGGCTCTGGGCCAGGCAGGCAGAGCTCAGCAAACACCTGGAGGGGAAATGCTGGTTTAGGGCTCCTTGCCTGGACCTGGAGCAGAAACCCCTCCCTGCCATGAAGGTCCATGAGGTTAAACCCCCCCAGGGCTCCGAGCTGCCTCTGCTCCTGCTGGCTCCTCACAAGCTGCACCACTGGGAATTTTGATTCACTCTTTGCTGTTGAGTCAGTCTCAGACGTCTGAACTGCTCCCCTTCATCCCCTCCACCTGCAGGGGCCTCACACTCCCCTCGAGCTCCATTTTCTCCCTTAGCAACAGGGGAAAGAAACTTGTGGATGTGCTTTTATTATTCCTGAGATGTGGCTTTTCCAGCCTGGCCTCTGCTCGTCTCCCTGTGGCCTTTCTGATGTGCAGGTGTAGCCACAAAATCTCTGCTATGAACACAGAGGGAGGTGGGTGTGCCCCAGCCTGGGCCCTGACTGCTCCAGGGGTCACACACACAGGGGTTGTGCCTCTGGGGCACTCAGGTGACAAATCTGTCCCCTCTGGGTGCCTGCTGCCCACCCCTCCTGTGCTGGACCTGATGGACCCAGCCTGGCCAGCATCCCAGTGGCTCTCCTGAGGGTCTCCACCATCACCACCACCCCAGTTTGGAGCAGCTCTGCTCCTTTTTACTCTCCAGGTGTTAAAGAGTCTCTTCTCTGAAAAGGAGGTTTGATTTTCAAGACACTACAAAGTGGGGTTTTTTTGCAAAGATTTCACTTCCTCGTTCTTTCAAGTGTCCACAGAGAGTCATTATATGGATTTGAAATCCCAGGGGGAAAGGTTCTGTGTTTTCCCACCCTGCTGTGCCCACCAGCAGGGAAAAACCACTCAGTGCATGAGTATCCAGTGCTGTGCTCTTGGTGATTTCCAAGGTTTCATCTCCTGGGAAGGGCTGCCTGGGAGTTTGTTGTTCTTCTGTTTATGAGAGACAGCAGCAAAACAATGAGACAGGGGCAAAACAGTGAGACAAGGGTAAAACAGTGAGACAACAGCAAAACAATGAGACAACAGCAAAACAATGAGACAATGGTAAAACAATGAGACAGGGGCAAAACAGTGAGATAGGGGCAAAACAGTGAGACAAGGGTAAAACAGTGAGACAATGGGTAAAACAATGAGACAAGGGTAAAACAATGAGACAGGGGCAAAACAGTGAGATAGGGGCAAAACAGTGAGACAATGGGCAAAACAATGAGATAAGGGTAAAACAATGAGACAGGGGCAGGACAATGAGACAATGGGCAAAACAGTGAGACAACAGCAAAACAATGAGACAATGGGTAAAACAATGAGACAATGGGTAAAACAATGAGACAAGGGTAAAACAATGAGACGGGGCAAAACAGTGAGACAAGGGTAAAACAGTGAGACAATGGGTAAAACAATGAGACAAGGGCAGGACAATGAGACACCTGCCACCAGGAGTGGCCTCACAGAGCTGTCACCTCCACATTGTGGCCTGAGCTTGTTGCTCGAGAGGAGCTGATCTGGCCAGAGAATGGGATGTGGCTCTGTGCTGTCCCTGTCCCCTGTGTGCCTGTGTGTCCCCAGGGGAGCAGGGACTGTGTGCACCCCCTGGGCACAGGGATCTGAGGGATCT